AAGAGGATCCATTACGTTCGTGTTCCCATGAGGGGGCATGGTGTAATCAAGTCTGCATGCATACCACACCTCAAGGTACGCACGCCAGTCAACGCCGACCTTAGGGTTGTATAATCACACCCACACCTCAAGGGACCTTAACGTAATTACCTCTTAAAAAAACCATTTACAGACTCCACATATTTACGTCCCGCGAAAAATAAGGGGGTAAAAGATTGGTCCTGAGTTTTACGGGCCGTTTAAAGGCCGCAACAAACAAAGTAGCGAACAGCGACTGAGAGAACTAGGCCAGGAAAAATAGGCGCATCAGACAAACTAGCAGCTCACGCAGCTTGGAATTAGGAACACCGCCCGCATCATCTACATGGTTTTTGTTTTCAATAAATAGGAGATGGATATAGCCTACCTCAGCCGTACCTGCATCTTCTGTATTTAAAGAAATCGGTTCCATGCATCTCAGGATGCTTCGTGTGGAAATTACAAAGTTTAGCACATTTGCTACGGCGGACTAAGTCTCTTTCGTGCGATTCCCAGCGGAAGAAATTTAAATTGATTTTGGTACTTGCCGAACTCAATCCATAATTGAGTTTTAAAACATCAGATGGAGTAGGTAACAAATTGTTGTTTTGAGGGAAAACAGTTCCAGCCACTTGGTTCGAGTAATAAGAGCAACAGTTTAATACATAGCGACTACATGAAAAAGTTCTGCATACATTAATTCGTAAAAGATGAATCCAAAATTGTGTAAAAATCAAAAAAGCTCAGCAGGCTAAAGCTGGTATAGAACAGACATGATCTCTGCCTGGATATTTTTGGCATTCACTTGTCATCTATGATGATTTCGGAATGGAGAGATCGATGTGGAGATGAGCAATGCAAGCAACAAAAAATAGGAAAAACGCTGATATCAACATTAAGGGCTCCACAAGCATGGATATTGGGTTGAAATCGTAGTAAACCTGCAGCCAAGCAAATAAGTGAAATGAGAGATCACAGGCAAGAATTATTAAAAACTAACACGCTTGATTTCCGTGTCTAATTATATCCATATTACAATTACTTTGTGGTAGTAGCTGGTTCTCTGACATGGGTCTTCGTTTGTTTCATTGTTTACTTTCCCCCCTCCCCTTTGTTCCTATAGACTTTAAAATGAGAAATTATGTTTACACTGGCTAATTCTTGCCAAAGGCAATAAAGTTAGTCGAGAGTTATAGGCGGCTTGGTTTAGTAAAGGGTATGAAGAGGGAAGGTGAGTTGGGGTCAGGTGAAAGAAATTAAGGACATACTTTTTTGTACTTCTTGCTGATTGGAAGGGGAGCTGGGGGAAGGAACGTGATTTTATCTGTCTCTCGTTGAGGGGATGGGAAGTGAAACTGAGATGATGAGTTAGTTAAAGTACAATAATACCCTTATATTTTTATTTTTATTTTTTTGCTTAAAGAAAAGAACCAAAAAGTTTCGTATTCATACCTATGACCTCTTGAGCTACAGACCCATGATAGATAGAGTCATATTGTACTTAAATCATCCATAGATAATGTACAAAAAACCGATCAAAATTTTACAACAATTTTGTATTAAAAAAAATGTTTTTATACTTCTTTTCCAAACAAGAAATAACCGCAATAGAAAGGACTAGAGCTAGTTACACCTAAACCCTAGGAATTTCCATCAAACTATGGAAAATTATTATGAAACTTTTTCCCTAACTAATTACTGAGTTTCGGCAGGAATTTGATAAGGATAGATAACTGGGTAATCATAAAAAATTGGTGAGGGCACGCCATTATAGAATAAACCCCTTATTTGCTCACGTATCCCCCCAAATCAGAGGGATGTTTCTCTCTATGTTTCCTGTGCATTTTGCACTTTCTCTCACTACACCCCACACCTCAGTTCTGCCTCCCAAAAACCTCTACCAAATAGGATTTTTTGTTTTGTTCCTCACCTCACCTAACCCCATCCCACCTCCCCTCCTATCAAACCAAGCCTTATGATGTAATGATGAGTTCTAAATTACATATAGATCATCCAGCGCCATCTTTAGAAACCCCACTGATTTTTCGAGTAATTTCTCAACTCTTGCGAAAAAAATTGAACCATATGTACTATCCTTTTCTCTATGCATATTCCTCTCCCTTTGTCCCCATTCTGTCTCTATATGAACTACAAAAAACCTAGTTCCTGACTCTTGCTACTACTCATTTCTGAAAAAAATAACTCCTACTCTTGGTACTTTCTCTCACTACATCCCACCTCACTTCTGCCTCCCAAAAACCTCTACCAAATAGGATTTTTTATTTTGTCCCTCATCTCACCTCACCTCACCTCACCTCACCTCACCCCACCTCACCTCCTATCAAACCAAGCCTTATGATGTGATGATGAGTTTTAAATTACATATAGATCATCCAGTGCCATCCTTAGAAACGTCACTGATTTTTCGAGTAATTTCTCAACTCTTGCAAAAAAGGTTGAACAATATGTACTATCCTTCTCTCTCTATCCATATTCCTCTCCCTTTGCCCCCATTCTGTCTCTATATGAACTACAAAAAACCTAGTTCCTGACTCTTGCTATTACTCATTTCTGAAAAAAATAACTCCTACTCCCTATTTCTGGAAACAAAATATAGCCAAAATAATTGAACTAAAGAATCAAGAATTGTTTGTGAGGCTATAGCAGAATAGATTTAGCACAAAGTAAAGATATAATTAATGCGACAATTATTGCTGACATAGTAGTGCAACTGGAGCCATACAAATAGGTAGCATTGTTAGGAGGTCAGCACCACTAAAAGGAATACAACCATAAAAGAGAAATAGAATAGAATAGACAAAAATGATATCTAGGACAGTCAGTGTTTCCATATATAAGTGAAACTTTTTTATTTATAAGTATATGGAAACCATTTCATCATACTAGTAAACTAAAATTCAGGCACAAACATGCATAAAATAAACTAAGTGTTAGATTACCTGAAAGGGAACATTATGCTCTGGTACTACATTTCTCTTCTTGATGACCACTGTAGTCCTCCCAATAACATCAAGATATGAGTATGTTGTCTGCAACAGTAGCAAAACAACAGGAGAAGTTCGTATTTCAGTGACAAGATGGATTTATGACAAAAGCATGCAACATAAATATTGTGCTTGTTCAAGAAAAAAAGCAGTCACAAAAAAGATCAGCAGAAAGCTATCTACTACTACTGCTCTTGAATTGTGAAATTCTTAAGTAAACTTTGAGCTAGTTAGAAGAACTAATCTCAATATCATGGGGTTGGACCGATATATTGTTGAAAAAGCCTGGTTATCAGAATAGTCACGAAATACTCAGAGTGAGTACTCTTAGTTAAGGGAGAAAAAACCACCCAATGACAAAAATGGAGAGAATATAAAGACACATTAATCTTCAAAATGTTGGTGAATCCATGATGCCTCTTCTGTCACCAATACAGTTCTAAGTTCTGACAAGAAAGATTTGATCCAATCATCAAACTTAAAACTAGCTATTCTAAAGGGAAAAACCATTGTTCTTAAATTGAGCATCAATCTAGACCAACCTTAATCTCCCATACAATGGTTTATTATTTAGCTAACATAAGGGCCACAGACCGTTTAAATACCTTACCAATTAAAGTAACAGTGTAACACTACATGTCCAAATGAACCTTAAAAGGATCTCATGCACCCATATAAATGAGGTATTGTAAAGGGAAATAATGAAAAGGGCGGCCCAGTGCACGACGCCTCCCACCATTGAGGCTTTTTGAAGAGACATGTATGCAGCCTTATGCCTGTATGCAGGGTAGCTATTTCCGAGATTCGAACCCATGACCTCCAGTGCACAAGACAACAACGTTACTACTTCGCCAAGGCTCAGCAACATAAAGAGAAATAATCATTTGCGTAAATCTATTCACTTTTCGGACTAATAGCTTGTGGATGGATCATTATTCAATACGTAAAAGTAGTTTTATAGTGATTCTGCAACATGTCAACTGTACCCATAAAAAGGAACACAAATGAAAGCAGAAGAGTAAAATCTTGGAGTGAGAAGTATGTACATACTAAACATATATTAAATATTAACTATGCATGCCTCAAAGGTAAGATAATCAAACAATTTGTACGGATGAATTATTCTATTGATCATTATCACCAGTTCTTATCATTATCGAGCAAAATTTGTATATATAATATAATTTCACAATAATTGCTCATGACATACTACTGACTAATATGACAGTTACCTCAAGTTGTTGGTCAACTGCAAAAGGAACTGATGCCGATGGGTTCTTGGATCCCTCTGGAAGCACAACCTGAAAAAGTGATTTATCAGTCTAAAAGACAGTGCACGGATGATTTAGGAAATCAGCCATAAACAAGACTATCCTCTAGCCCGATGGCCAATTCCTAACCCTCTTTATTGATCCATACTTTTAGTGTTTGATGAAGAAAATTTAGTCTCAATAATGGAAACTGCAAATCATAATATTCTAACTCAAAAAGTCTTTCTTACCCAAGATTGTTTTTCCTTTTTTCTTTTCTTTTCCTACAAGATGTACTTAACAGAAAACAAGAAGGCAATTAGCACACTGCCATTTGTTGGCTGTGCAGCATGAAACTGCTTGTGTTGCACATCACTGCTATTTTGTACAACTTGTCGAATTTTTCACTCATGCAATCCTCTTAGATTATTGCCAATGTTTTAGTTTTATCAAAAGTAACATGTTCCATTTCAAAGAGCAAAATGATTGTGCGATACATACTGTAATATCTAAGCAAATGCACAAGAAAATAAATGAACAAGCAGTTGGAACAAAGCTTGATTGTTATGGTTGCCTTCTGATTATATGCGAAACAATGATTGGCTCATAAGAAAAGACTTGGACATGGAACAGAAAAGCATGGAATAAATTGGATATGAAAGGACAGGATCAAACACATAATGAGTACCTACTTTAATAATGAGTTCGTCAACCACTGCCTCCAGAAGAGGACATCCGTAGCTGAAGTTCAGATAGCGCTGCCCGCTAGGTGACTCGAAAAGAAAATCATCTAAGGGTAGCCCATATCCGATGATAAATGAGGCCTTCCAACCTCCAAACAATGGATAGCGAGGTTCAAATTCAAGCTCCGACTGAAAAACAATGAATCATGAGCACTAGCAAATTCATACATAGATTTTCACCAAAGCATGACTTCCTGATTTTCCAGTAATTTAGACAAAGAATTTAAATCAAAGACGACTACATTTATCACAACATATCTCTCCAAAATGCAATTAACACGATTTACTTATTTGACATTTAGTACACCAATAAACTTACAAATTGTTTCAACATGGTTTACCTACATTCTAGGTCCAAAGAGATTTGTTTTTCAATTAACTATGCATTTATTAGATGTCCTAACTTTTTGCACAATGTGGCCATCTTCTTTGCTCAATGTCAAACATTTGATGAAAAACAACATTAATAAATGTTTTAAAAAGGCAGACTGGGTGCTCTTCTAAGAAGCTTTTTATGCTGAACCCCCACCCCTACTATTTATTGGGGATCACAGAGGGGAGACACCTTTAAAAAAGTAAAAATAAAATTTTAAGAGTTCTTACAGGAGTTCTGCACAATTTGGGACATATACCACACAATATTTTAGGAGTTTGGGATGGTGAGTTGGACAAGTGGCATTTTCATTGGTGGGTTTGAATTTTCAAAATATCCAGAAGAAAACTAGGAGACTATTTCCTTATGTAACTTGACATATCCTAATCAAGGCTTCCATGGAAGCCATGACATACAATATGCTTGATCCTAGGCACAAGGGCGGTGTTAACTACTTCACGTTTTAAGACTCTCCTACAAATTCCTTATATTCATTAGCATCTCTTTGAGGTTGGATTTTTTTTATTTTGCTAATGTAATGGTATGTCGGGAAGAGTATGGACTTGTAGTAAAGTGTATCTCTACATTCCTGCATTTATGATTCCTTTACTTGGTGTCCTGTGAAAATGTTCTCAATGAAACAAGTGTGGAGGCAATTTCCACCATTTTCCTAAAAAAAAAATCTAGTATTAAGAATTAAATAGCTGGTATATATATTCTAAATTCAATATATGATAAAGAAAATTAACCAATTCAACAAACTTGAATTGTCCCTGACCAATTCTACCAGCATTCTGATGAGCTAAGGTGGTCACCAAATGCAATACAAATTAAATTGTGAATGTCAACATAAGCTAAGTAAATCAAATGGGTACCAAGGAAAACTAGACAACAAAGGCTGTAGATGTAGCGAATTAGAAATAGATAGGTCTAATCTAAGTATTTTCTAATGTTCTAATGGACTCATAGTAAAATGTGTAAAAAGTAATCAAACAAGGAATCACATATTAGGTAATAAAGAGTACCTTCTGATTATCGGTTCGTAAGTGTGATGTTGAAACATTCCCAATCTCATCTCTGTAGTAGACCGAGTGAACGCGAGGAGGCAATCTCGCAAGAAGATTCTTAAAAGAAGCAGAACCACTGACAGAAGGTCTACCTTGATACTCAAGCCTGCAAAGATGTTTGCCAAATGTAAAAGCTAGTGGCTTATGCATCAAGAGAAAAAAAAATGGCGCAGCAGGTTATGGTTGCACATGACGTCTTAGACGTTAAGAGCATTTATGAAGCAGAAATTGTAAACTTTACAGCATTCGGAAAATCAAGATTGCACCAAGGCAGGAAAAATTGAGGACTTATAACAATGTTCTCTTTAAAAGAATAGAGAATGAAGTGATGTAGGTCCTGAATAATGATCAAATGGGTAAATAGATAATGTAAGAGTAATATGTTGTGGGGGTTGGAAAAGAAAGTGGAGGGATGAGGTTGTCTGTGTAATTCGACTTTGCCAAAATTTATGCCATGCAACATTATCCATATCACAGCATCCTTAGTATCCAAAACTTGAGTAAAGTATCTGACACTTCAAATGTTACAAATATAAAAGAAAATTGGTATCATCAAAATCTAGGTAAATCAATGCTTGTTGTGATCTGAAAGCACCAAATTCTTAATCCAGAATTTATATATAATTCTACGAGACCATTGTGTGCAAGTTAAAATTAATTCCAAATTCAGGGATGAGTAGACCTGAAATGAAGCTAAATTCTGAGCATGTAATTCGTCTTTCTTGTAACTATTATTTATCACATGAAAGGTATGCTTAAACTAACCTCGAAAAGACTCCTTTGTGTCGCGCACCACCATGTTTTAGTTTGTAATGCTCTGTAACCTGAAGGTTCCCCCAATGAGAAATTTCTACCACACGAACAAGTTCTTCAACAACAGCAAAAGGATTGTTGTTCTCAAAATGTACGATTATAGGAGAATATGAATATGGGAGCAGATCATGATAGTGCCCGTATTTCAGCTCTGTACCAGCACGGTCAGTAGGCTCTACTATTGTATAAGATTCCACCTTCCTATTTGGTGTCTTGATATAGGTAATTTGCTCAGCAACGTGGTATGGAGACAAGAGCAATGCACTGCCACGGAAGTAAACATACTGGGATTCTGATTGGCTGATCTCTGCTGGAAAGGGCTCAAGAGAACGTGTTAAGGCACAAAGTACTTCTATTGATGCTTTCTCACCACTCTTTAATGGTTTCAAAAGAGCAATAGAGAATAATTTAGCTCCATTCGGAGTGTTGGGTGATTCAGTAGGGTTCACTTCAAGAGGTACATATGTTTTCTTTTTGCGCTTTCCTTCAGGTATGGACGCTTTTAGTATAGCTAAATGTTTGGCTTCTTTTGGTGGGAAAGCAAGAAGAATATCTGAGACATCGGATGCACCCGTATTTTCCACCTGAACTCAATGTAAACAGCCTATACTTAGAAAGTTACTAATACTTTCTGAGCTAGTTTAATAAATCTAAAGAAATACATGAGTTAGATTAAATCACAAAGATGCACAAATAGGATTTGACAAGTTCCACAGCTTAAACTCTCATTGTAAGTTCACTGGAAATGTACCTTAAGAGTCAGGAAAACCCTGATAATGGAAGAGGTCAAATCAATCTGCATCAAAAGAAATGCGACAGGCAGTTAGTAACAAAGTTGGTATTTTAAAGTCTAGTTCCTTAGACTCATTAGAGTTAATTAACAAGAGACCTTGATTCCAATTAAAAATGGGTTAAAACCCGAAAGTTTCTACCAAATTTGGGCATAGACAGACATAATATGATGGGTACTAATGCTGTCTTATTCACTCTGGATTAAACTACATATTAGAAACTTTGGGATGTTTGTTTTTTGGGGGAAAAAAACAATTTCAGACATCAGTGTTAAAGATCGATGGAAGTTTAGGGTATTAAAGTGCAAATAACCCTTAAAAATAGAAAATCACACCTCTTTTCTAGTCGAAACCCCCCAAGTATCAATTTTAACCAATAAAATTAGGGATCAGGACGAGATCAATAGCATCAGTAGACAAAATCTACGAAAACTAACATATTCTAGCACTAATTACCGCATTTACAACTTTTATTTCTGCGAAATTGAAAGAAACCAGATGGGATGGATCGAGAACTTACCCTTCTCTCGGCGCTGAGGATCCGAACCTCTTGCGATGAAGAAGAGGATCCGGGAGAAGATAGAGAGAGAACGACGATGAGAGAGAGAATTAGGGTTTTTCGAGAGATTTGGAACCCAAATCCTTCCCCCATTTTTCTTGATTCTTCTCCCTCTCGCGCGGATCCGTTTCAGTATTGACTCGATGAAGACTGAAAAAGAGGGGCGAGGATCTGGGGTTTATGCGGAAAATTACAGTGCGGTCCTTGGCTGGTGCAATGCCTTGCGTAACAGTCCAAGGCAAGCCTTCCCTATTGATTTCGACTTTTTAAGAAAACATGGATAATTTCCTTTTATTTTTCTCTGATGAGAGGAGAACCTTGGGGATTGAAAACATTTTACATGCATTAGAAGTATCACTATGTGAGAGCATCTCCAACAGCTTCCCCATTTTTCATTTTTGGAGAATTTAGTTAGGTTTTTGGCTCAACAAATTCCCCATCTCATTCCCCAAAATAGGGATGAAGGAGAAAAAATAGGGAAGCTTCCCCAAATCTGCAGCATTCTCCAAATTTTATGAAGGAGAAAAAATAGGGAAGCTTCCCCAAATCTGCAGCATTCTCCAAATTTTTGGAGGAAAAAATGAATTCTTCAAAATGGGGAAGTTGTTGGAGTTGGTGTAAAAATTAGTTGGAGAATATGACTTTTGTTTCCCCATTTTGGAGAAAATTTTGGAGAAGCTGTTGGAGATGCTCATCGACAAAAGGGAAAACATTGGGTTAATTGTAGCTAGACCCCCTCGTTGTATCACCAAGTGCAGATAGACTCCTTAAAGTTCTATTGGTTCAGATATACTTTCTACACTATTTAGTCAGAGTGAACTTTTCTGACTCTTCTAATTATTAGTCGAAGGAATTCATCTATACAAAACCTTTTCTTTTTACTCTTTTTAATAATAAATAAAGTTCACTTGATGAGGTCCACCGGCAAAATTAAAACTATAGGGGGTTTATCCACAATCAGACACAACTAGACCAAACAAGATCGATCACAAATTAAATAGCTTAGAAGTGAAAACTTGAAGTAATTAACGACCATCTCTTGTTAACATAATCAGATGTTGCTTCATCCATCCTCGTGTCACAAAGAAGTCCTAAAGCTGATAATATAACATGCTGATACATCACTAGATGTTTAGTTCGAAGACCGATAAATCATATACTCTCTCTAATCTTAACAATAAATAGCGACGTTGTACCATGAATATCATAGCTCCATGTTCTTTTGGATGCAAGAAATATTACTAGACAAATAACAGCATTTACAAGTACATTCACATTTATTTTATGTATGTACAACATAGCATCACAAAATCCAAGAAAAGACCTTGGCAAATAATTGTAAGATACAGCCTGTTTATTGTGCAATCTCAAAAGATACAATGAAATCTGAATCAATGTACTGAGAAGCTCTAGAATTATACAAGACTAGAAATGATCAAATACTAATCACATCGCATCAAAGAGCAACACTAGCATCTACTCTGTCTTGCAATGGAACAGATCTTCGATATCATCAAACGGAAGCTGAGGGTCTGTGATATATATGCTTTGTTCTTGGATCGACAATAATGCCCTTTCCTCCATTCACTTCAAGATCATGCCTGCAGATAAACACTATCGCTTACCAAAAAAATTATCCTCTAATAAGCATCTGTACCATCTTGCATTGACAGTTTTCTCTAGCAAGCGATACTTTTTTATTACAGAAAACCGTCATGAACTTCTTTCACTAAGTGGGTGTTTGGCAAAAATGAAAGCGAATTGAAAGGGTGAAAGTCTTTTTTCTTCTTCTCTTTTTGCAAGTGAGACAATGTATACATGTGAGCATACAAGTAAAATACAATGTTCGTTTGTAAAATAAATAATTATTGGAAGTAGAAAGTTGTAGAAAGTTGAAGTGATGTTGCAATTAATTTATTTATTTATTTATTTATTTATTTATTTATTTATTTATTAAATCAATTTCTAAACCATTTTCAAAGTAGTTAGATTATTTGTTGCCAATGTTAACATATTTTATCTAAATTAAAAGTTTATTATTCTTATCCTTGACTAAAAGATTGAACTTCCAATAAGATTATATTTATGTTAATTCCTGTGCATGTTAGTTTTGAGCATAAAGGATACACGAGTCTAGAAAAAAATGCAAAACAAATATTAACCTTATGTGTCAAAAAAAAATCAACAATGCCTTCGGAATTGCCGAGATAATTCGTAAGGAATAAAACTAATAGAGTAAAGAAGAACTAATAAATTAGGTTATGGTAAAAAAGATATATATATTAGTTAATATAATATTTTAATTGGGAGGGGTCCCCACTTTTCTCACTTTCATCTGACTTCAGCATTTTTTTAGGGAACTTAAACCTGCATTAAATATTACGAGGATTCTTTTTGACATTTCACTTTCACAACCACTTACAATTAAACAAACACCTGAAGTGTTAAATGCATTTCACATTCTCACTCTCGGCTCTCACTTTCATACAAACAAACACCCCTTAAGCTACCATATGCCTGATGACAGTTAAAGTCATCGCATGATTCACAAATGACATGTTTTGACAATTTTAACCTTAAGTACTCTATATATCTTCTACAATACTCCTATGAACTTTGTTGATTGATAGATAAATAAGTCTATATTGGAAGTCTTTTCTCTATTAAAAAAATTGGGCATAATGCAAAACCCCCAAATTTTAATGATAGTTTCCTGGAAGTTATCCTGAGGTAAATTACTCACTGGAATACGAAGTCAGGGATGGTCAGCTGCTCCCTAGGTACATATCTGAACAGCTGCAAGAGCCTATCAACATAGACAACTTTTTTCCATACCTGAGAAAGGAAATATCAAATATATGTCACACAAAATAAGGAATAGGGTTTTCTCTCCCAAAGGAGAAGAACGGGGGGGCGGGGGGGGGGAGTGGAGAGTCAAGTTCAAGAAGTTGAACTATCATATGCGCGTAGCATGCATGAGAAAGAGCGTATGTGATTACTTCTCCATCAACTAATAGTTGCAGAGCAAAAATTGCTGCTTTCAGTCCCAAAGTTGGATGGAGAACATATATTGCCTGTGAACCAGAACAGTAAGATGTATTACAAAGTGGTTCCGTACATGGGAATTGAACTCAACCAAAGTAGGTATAGTTAGAAATATATACGGACATGCAGATTGTGCCGATGCTTTCGACCCAAAATCTGTTGCAAGCGCTTCATCCATCCTAGATCTGGTTGCCTGCAATATTACAGCTCTGAAGTTAAGTTCATATGACCAAGAGGCATTGAAGCGATGAGCAGGGTAATTTTTGCCAAAGGGAAAAGGAAGATTTTTGAGATTCCTCTTAATCCATGATATTTCATAATACTCACACTTGCAATGAGGCGGCAGAGTGTATATAGACAATTGTGTAAGGCTTCTGAATCAGAGGTTCAAATTCCTGGAAGTATAAAAACCAGTCAGCCTGACACAATAGATTAGCAATAAATTGGAAATGTAGAGAACAAAGCAGATATAGACACCAACAGGTAGGTGCTGTTTTACTGACTCACAAGAAACAAGGGCTTTATATATGAATCTCCAATATATGATACGGTACACGGTCAACAGGTAAATCTTATGAAATTTCAATCAGTTTACTCAACCCATGTGTGCCACTAACACCAAGCTTTGAGATTATTCCTCAACATGATTGACTCGAGCATTAACTGAATGTCTGCTTAAACAACTTAAAAATATATAACTCTGAAGTTTTGCCCCTTGCTACATAATAATCTCAAGAAACACAAATTTCATATGTAGTTTGACAAGTGTAGTATGCACTAACATAATTTATTTCCTTAGTTTGTCCTGAAAGATAGGTCAATTGTAACTACACCTGCATTGAGCATAACAACTAGAGCTTCAATCCAGAAGCAATTCATGATGAGATTCAGCGTACAATTTTTTTGCAAGGAATTATTTGATGATTTTAAGTAGATTAGGTTAACAAAATGTATGGGTAAATATGGTAAATTCTGCACTTAAACATTAAAAAAATGCATTACTTATGATCATTAAGAATGTACGTAAATGTGTCAAACCAATAAAACAAACACCAAAGCGTGGCAACATACATCTGAACATAGATTAGCACTATTCACCAAAGAAAGCATGGTACCTTAACAACATAAAGAACAAATCGCTCCAAATCAAGACAACGTAGAAGAAAGTGAGCTCCTACAACAACCATTACAGGACGTCCTTCACAATCTACTCCTCCCCGGTATCTGAAATTGAATAAAAAAAAGAATGCAACAATACTCAAATGTTAATTTAGTTCATGTCCCTGAGATGAATTTACTAACATGATAAAGAATGATATTTAGTGAAAAATCATCTGATATTAGCCACACATATCGTAACATCGTACAAATTTTGTACCAAACTCAAGAATCAGTATAAAAGTTAACAATGGCCTAAGGTTATCTTTTTACAAATCAATGCAGATATAGCTCATAGGAAACAATTTAAAGAAAAAAACATATTTACTTACACAATTTTCATTTCAGCAATCTCTGAAAGATTTAGAGAATTTGCTTTAGCAAGGTATCGGGAATGAAGTGAATATTCCTCAGCAGCAGATAATGGAGGGCCACCAAGATCACCAAATCCAAGCATCTTAGCAAAATTGAAACCACCCTGTGCCTGAGCCGCCTTTTCCCACCGCTCTTTCCGACGTTGATCAGGGTCCTTGATCAATGACATGAATGTAGGATCAAGATATGAATCCAATTGTATAGTTTTCCTGCTAAGAAACACTGGATTAGATCATATGGCTCTATTTGGAAAATGCATATACAGAAAGAACTGACAAAAGATTTGAAGAATACCACCTAACTGAAAATGGTAATGCTGACAATATAAGCCAGAAAGTACAAAGACAAATTACTGCTTAGTTTCCTAATTTCATAAATTATTAAATTTACTAGAGTGGAGGACGAGACTTTGCAGATTGATAAAGCTGCTCAATTGTAACTGACATCACAGGTTCGACTTGTCTGAATGGAACAGGCTTTTCGCATGGCAAGAATAAGACTGTATATATCTAACAGCAGGGTAGAGGCCATATGCAATGGGATAGCCTTTTTGCTATATTTACTACAGATGTCAACATACTATACGAGTCAACTATTGGGTTGACATTATACAAAAGCAAAAGCCCACTTGCCTTCAGTATTTGCAATAAAACTAGATGGATAAAACATAAAATAATACAAACCCTCTTAATGTTGATCCAACGTCACTGACAGGAACATCTTCAAGAGTTGCAGGAGGTTTCTGGACAGGTGCTGACACTGCAGGTAAGGGTTTTATTCTAATTTTACGTTCGTCTATAGTCGTCTCCCCATTCTCATCCCCTACATCCGCTGGAAGTTTTGATATAGCTATCTCTTCTTCATGTTTATCCCTGGGAAAGTAAAGTGGAAGCAATCTGGCAATGCAGAGTTACAAAAGAAGGATCAATAAGTCAAAACAATTACCTTCACTTACCAAGGTAGAAAATTCTATCATTTTAATGCTTTTATTTTTTAACAAAAATCATTTCAAATTTCAAAGTAACAGAATATACCAAAAGGTACCTTTTGTATATCTCTGTATCAGATGCCGTTGTTGTACAAAAGACAACAGCAGAAATTTTGTCTTTCTGCTTCTCTAAAAATCTCCTGACAGTTCCTAAAAAATAAAAAGCACAATTAGCAAGTACTAAACAAGAATATAGGGGGGGAAAGGTGATGAATCTTATTAGCATGTTTGAACAGTTTGTGTTACTCACTTATTGCCACATGTGCAGCTGGTTCACGAGGATAATTTTTGGCTTCTGTATAAATGCAGCCCATGGCAATGCTAAATGAAAGATTTGTATTTAGCTCATCAGCCAACACATAATATGGAGGATAAGAATATGAACTATATATCTGTATAAAAGCAGTTTAGCTAAATGAAAGATCTGTATAAAAGCACTTTAGCTATATATCTATCGCAACCAACCTCTGAAGTCCATTCTCAATAAGAAGCTCCAAGCAAGAACGATAGCAGTGACTCAGAGCATTCTCTGCAGCAGTATGATACTTCACTGCATACTTGGGGCCAACGGTGTGAATAATTCTTCTGCAAGATCACGTCGAATAAAGATCATATTTAATTTTCATCAAAATAAGTAAAGTAAAGAATAAATAAAGGAGTTAAGAATATAAGAATTCAAGCTACTAAACATCATATTGATAAGCCTTTATGAATGGAACATATTACTTTTAAGTAATTAAAATTCAGCAATGCAGAAAAGCTGAGATATATTTAATTATTCTACAGAAAAGATTGATGAATCGAGACCTACAAAGTCATAATAACGAGAGTAAACATGGTATCTTGTACTATTTATCACAATTTAGAAAAGCATGTACGTGTTGCATTTTCAAGGGTGTGCATGTTGACAGATATATGCATTTATTCTTTGAAGGAATACACGCATCAATGTGTTATCTCCTATAACTCACCCACATTCATATTAAAACTTTTGTTTTTCCATTGCCTTCTATCGTACTTGTTAAGGAAAATCTATATCCATGTGTTTGGGTCATATTTGTGCCTCGTGTTCTGCATATATGCTTTTTAGTTATTTATTTTTGTGCCATTGATCACATGATTCACATCAATAGTTGTAGTTTTTCCTTTCTTAGGGGGGAAAGAAAATGTTACACAACCTCCCCAGTCAGCGACCCATCATAGATTTTATGTAAACTAGAGAAAAACCATTTGTATCCCTTAACTTACAAATATTTCCACTGAGTCTTTGTAGGTAATAAAACCATAAAAAATCAAGTTTTCTACATAATTACTCAATCCAAAAGTTCCATCATGGTTCCAAATAGCCTGTACAGCTTGCCATATCTCTAATCCCAAAAGAAATATAAAGCACGTCATTTACACTTTTTTTAGGCATCTTCAATTCTTCATTTTAATAAAAGAACATACTCATGCTCATCAAAGTAATAATTTATTCATACTCAAATAAAGGCAACTAAAAAACCTACCTAGCTGGTAGATCATAAGCACCGGTCAATTTTGCCATTCCAGTTCGACATCCGCCCTGCAAAGAAAGCAAATAAATGAATATAAGTTTAATTAAAGTACAACAAATAACAAATCCATAATAAATAAATAAAAAGTTGATACCAATGTTGCACATTCTTCAGCAAGACCAGGCCCAGCTGCAGCATGCAAACCAGGACTACTATGTGCTTCATCTAAACTCTACAAATTCAATCCAAAACAAAAGATTAGGCCCTCAACTCAACAAAATGATCCCATTTTCAATCGGTTTATTTGCACTCTAATGCCCCCAAAGTACTTTCACCCTTCTCTATTTTTAATACCCTGAAGTCCATTTTGACAATTTGAGGCTCCAGTGTTTTCAAATTGATGTTAATTTGACAATTTGTTACCTCAGAGCCCTAACTTTGTTCCTCACTACCTACAAACTCAAAAAATTAAAACTTGGTAACAAAATTGGTTTTCGTTCACTTTTCTATGTTGGTATTCTTGAACAAAACCAATGTCAACATTTTTGCAATTTGGGGTATCAAATTATCAAAATAGAATTTCAGTGTATCAAAGTTAAAGGGGAAAAAATGCAAAACCTTGGGGTACTAAAGTGCAAATAAACTTTTCCTATCCAATAAATTGACCGAAAAGCAGTTAAGAGTCAACCTCGTTGCTGGAATTGACAACAGCATCGACCTCAAGATTCCAAGGGTTCCCTCTCCAGAGATAAATCTTCGAATTGATCTCGTGATCGACCGGAAACCTCGATTTCACTCCGTCGCCTCCAGCTCCAGCCGACGAATTCAACGGATCCGAGAAGTAAGAATAGGGCATCGAAGGATCCTCGTTCGGCGGCGATCGCTGATCCGAATCCGTCCATCTCGGGACCTGATCGAGCTTTCACAACCGCATCGACGCTGTCCGTCGTCCGGCCATTCCTCCTCTTCGTAACGCGGCGGCGCTCGTCGGCACGCTTCGATACATCGCCCACAAACCCTAGAAATCCATCTTTAGCGATTCAGGAACCAAAGATCGATTCTCGATAACCTATTTCCCTCGAGAAACCCTAAATCGTGGGTTAGGGTTTGAATGATGAACAAGAAACACGAGATTAGATTGGATCGAAGATTAAGACGGGCGAATTGAGTTTTTTGTTGGAGAGAATTATTTGTGGGAAGAGAAAAAGGAGATGAACTAATTAATTATTTGAGGTACAGGAAATTGAGCGGTGACTACGTGGACTGTAGAAAGTGTTTGCTGTTCGGGATGAAACAGCAGCTCGTTACCCGCGAAAACGATAATAATGTTGTAGTGAAATAATTAAAATTGGATTTGGATTTTAATATCATATTTACCAAGCCTACACTCATGTTCATTTTTCATGAGATAAACAGTTGTCGTCCGTTGAGATGACAGACCGTTGTCTGATGTGATTTAAATATAGATCTCTCTATTTATTTATTTATTTGTTTTGTTGAAATTGAGAAGATCCAGACTAATAGAAGATTAGGGACAGATAATAACGTCAATTTTAGAATATAAAATCATACACTTCAGCTTTCGCGAGAGCTTCGAAGCACAGATAGATCCTTCATGGTAGGGAGACTAGAAACCTAGAGCTCTTACCCTTTGTAACAAAAAAATTGCCTCAGGGACCCCAAATAGGGGACCCTGGGGTGGGACAGGTGAGGTGTCAGCCTGGGAGGCTGTGATGCACTGTTCATGAACAGTGCATCACAGCCTCCCAGGCTGACACCTCACATGTCCCACCCCAGGGTCCCCTATTTGGGGTCCCTGTAGCAGGACTCTTGTAACAATAACAAAAATCCCACTACCAAACGAAGAGATCACCAACCATCCCCACCCAATAAAAATAATATTTTCTCAGGATCTTCTTCTTTTATGAACAAGGAATAACAATCTCTTTTTCCCTCTATCTTCATTCGACTATTCTAGTAGAACCCTGCCACCTCCTCAATTCCTCCTCCAATCTTTCAACCCTAGACAAATTGAGATGATGAAGGACTAGGGCTAGGATTTACTTTTTCAAAATAGTGTTGCATATCATAGTTCATTGGTAAATAAATAAATTAGGTTGTGTTATGGATTATTCAATCGCCAAGTTAAGGTCTCTCATCAACAACAGGCAAGTATCCCACATTACGTCTAATTCGGCCGACTCGACATTTGGGATAGCCAGAGTCCCCAATTCAGTCGGCTTGCCGGGTCGACATCTCGTCAGGGTCGACTCGAGAGGAGGTACTTGTCGATTCTCTCGTCAAAGGCGACTCGCCACAAGCTTGCTCGACTAATTATCTGGCCGACATCTCAGCGAGGCCCGACTCGAAAGGCGGTACCTCTCGACATCCCTCAATGTGAGACAAAAGACGACCACTACCTCGAGCCCCTCGCTGACAGCGCATCGGCATCACATTAAATGCGTGACAGGCGCCATCATTTCACCATCCACAACACTATTTATGGCACTTCGGACAATTCTAGTTCCGCACGCCACCTATCCCATCTAATTAGATGCTGAAATGACCACGCCCACTCCACGGCCGACACCTGTAAAGTCGAAGCTGACTCAACCGCCAGCCCTGATTCAGCCAAAGAGACCAAAATGCCCCTCTCTAGTTACCATAAAAGGGAAAACTATTCCCAACACAAAGGTAAGGAATTTTCTCAGCATTTTTCTTCATTCCACTACACTTAAGAACTGCCACAGTTCGCCACTTTCCCACTCAAGTATCTAGCTAACTTGATCGTCAGAGGAACAACGGGGGAACCAGACCCCGCCCTCTTATGAGTTGCTATATGTGTATGGAAGAATAGCTCAACTCTAAACCAGATATTCAGAGAAGTTAGCGGCTCTTGATCAACTTCATTCCGACTAATTCATCTGTTTGATTATTTAACATCAACAGTTTGGCGCCCACCGTGGGACATTCTCTTTTTTTCGAGCAAACATGTCTGGTTCTGAGCACATGGCTGATCCATCCTTCCCTGGATGATCGCATCAGGGCTATGTCACCCAAGCCCAACTTAAAGAGACTACTCAAAAGATCTCTCACTCCCTCCAACAGTAGCTCGCAACCTTCACTACTAAACTCCTCAGCCGGTTACCACCACCACGGTGAGCTAACTCCGCCATCCCTCCTCCTTCAAGCGCCAGCGCTCTGCGGATCATTCCTTTTCAAAAGCTTAGCACGTAGTCCCACCTCAGACTCCTCATGCTGCTGTCAAGCAGTGGAGAGATCGTGTTGAGCACGCGACACCCCCCCTGTACCAGTCAACTCGCCAAGTTGATCCTTGTCGACATCTCCTCCAGCACATAGAGCCGACTAGCGAGAGCCCTGGCCCTAGTGGCCATAAGGGGCATGCCGCGGGAGGAATGTCGAGGACTCTCCTTCATCAACATGCTACTCCAATCCCTTTGGTCACCCATGGGGCATCTGGATATGATCAGGCATATCGACCAGTCGCCGAAGCCATCGGGGGGAAACACCCCCTTACCGATAACATCATGAGTGCTCCATGTGAGAAATTCAAGATGACTCACGTGGAGAAATACAAGGGTGAAGGCGAACCTGTCGAGCACGTCCAGAACTACTATGATATAATGAGCATGCTCCAGGCACCCAAAGCTATCATTTGTCGGTGCTTCCCTATTACTTTGTAAGGGAGCGCCAAGCTCTGGTGGAACGCCAAGCTCTGGTGGAACACCCTTAAGAAGAAGTCCATCAGCAACTTCCAATAGCCTGAGGGGCGTCAAGAACTAGAGAGGAGGCTGCAGGAGGTCGTGGGTGAGGAGCTCGGAGGAGCTGGTTAGAGATGATGGCCGGAGTTCGACTGTTTGAGGTGGATTGTCAGATCTGGAGCTCATGCCAGTCAGCGGCCAAGGGAGAGGGTCTGGAGATGGAGTTCGTCGGCGTGAGGCGGCGGGTAGGTCGACGGGGAGAGAGGTCGGCTAGGGGACGACACGGGCTGCTGGCCTTTCCATCCCACAAACCAGACGGTACAAACAGCAAGGGCGGTACGTCAACCCGGACTATGGATGCACCATCGTTGCCGCGCGGGGGGCTATTAATTCCAGGCATTCCTAAGAACTCTGAGGAGATGACAGTTTTACCATTCATTAGTGCAGTTAATGTTTGCTTTTAATCGGGGTGGATCATGGCATTACCTTCCGAGCATCAAAGTCACGTTTTGGAGACCTTTTATGGATTTTTTATCTACTGCGGAGGGCGCTGATCCCGACGACTATCTTGGGTCGGTTCGCCTCTTCGTGGTACGGAAGGCCACACGGATGAAGTTGTCAGCGGGGATCGCAAGGAGAACGGAGACAGGCGTTGCGAGATCAGCACCAGACGGAGCGCTCAGCGTGTTGGCCGCGCGGCGGATTGATGGTGATGGCAGACCGACGGTAGAGGCACTCTCAAGCCGATATTTTTCTCCAGGAAGCTCTCACTGTTTGCTGACCACGATTTGCGTCATCAGCCACCGGGTGTGTCTTGAAGCTCAATGAACGAAATCCACCAAAAGCTAAGGTGCCAAACGGCTGAAGGCCGGGTGGCACTGGTGAGGAGAGGGCGAACGATGATGCAACATCCGCGCGACGTCCCTTTGTACCACTTTTTTTTGGTAAAGTCGATTATGGGATATGGCACTAATAACTGAGTAAGGAGAGCGTTAAAAGGCGCAGCAACGGGAGAAAAGTTTTGAAGCACTTATTTCGTATCTGATC